TAACTACAATGTTTTTTGCTGCCGCGAAGTCAATCAACCTCATGCCGTTGTCGGATGTTAATTCATGGGGGCTGAATTTTCCGAATGTGAATTTTCCACAGACATTTTCTCTTCCGATTTTTGCATTAAAATCTCCTAGCAGAATTTTAATGTCATGGCCAGGACAACGGTCATATGCTGTTTCTAGGCGCTCGTAAAATATGTCTTTGGTCTATTCATCTTTATCTCCGGTCGGAGCATGGACGCAAATGAGACTGATGTAGAAGAACTTGGCTTTTATACGGCTTATAGCAATTCGCTCATCTACTGCAGGAGTGAATCTGGAGATGAGGTCTTTTATTCTCCTGTTAACCATAAATCCGCAGCCAAATTCACGTCTCGTTTCATGGCAGCTATAATACAGGGCGTAATCTTTTGATTTACTTACGCCAGTCCCTTTCCATTGCATTTACTGTAAGGCAATAATATCGGCTTTGTACTTCTTGAGTACATCCGCCAAAGCGAGAACTGCGCCTGTTCTGTACAACGTGCGGACATTCCAAGTGCAGATTCGCAGATCGTGGTCCTTTATACGTTTGCGGGGGTCGTCAACATTAGGGTGGTTTGGTTTTCTTTTTCTTTGCTTTTTCATAGTAAGAGGGGGTTTCCGAGTGTGGGCAACTAACCCGACGCCTCAACCCATTTTTTATAGTTCTTATCGGTGAACTCGCGGCACATATCAGCTCTCTATTTCAACGGGTGATAAAAATAGTTACCCCAGGTGACACCGCGGGGAGGTCAGTGTCCACAATTGAGATGAAAGAGGGGCCAAAATAAGCCTGGACATCGCCATGTTAAAGCCAATCAGAGCCGTTGCTTGGTATGTATCATCCTCGCCTTCAAAAAATATTTTTTAAAAAAAAATCACGCCTTCAAGGAATATTTTGTAAAAAATCCACCCCTTCAAAAGTATTTTGTAAAAAAACACGCCTTCAAAGAATATTTTGTAAAAAATCCACGCCTTCAAAAGTATTTTGTAAAAAATCTACACCTTCAAAAAATATTTTGTAAAAAATCCGCGATTTCAAAAAAATTTTTTTTAAAAAAATCCATGCATTAAAAAAATATTTTTTAAAAAATCCATGCCTTTAAAAAATAATTTTTAAAAAAATCCACGCCTTCAAAAAATATTTTGTAAAAAATGCCCGATTTCAAAAAATATTTTTTTAAAAAATCCATGCCTTTTATATATATATATATATATATTTTTTTTTTCTCCCAAGGTCTAACAGGTGAACCTCGAATGATGTGTATTGAGCCTTGTGGAAATGGTTTCAACAATTCTTTTATAGCTTCCGATTTTATTCTTTCCCCTATTGCTTCGCATAATAAAAATTATAATAAAAATCAAACAAAAATCATGTATTGTATATATAAAATGAAAAAATATATATTGCTTAACTTTTATTAATTTTAAAAATATAATAATTAATTTGTTTATACACATTTAAAAAAGATTATAGTAAAATAAATGTTTGAGTACATAATTAAAAAAATATATTAGTAGAAATTAGAACCTGATAATAATATAAGATATTTGTGAAAATGAAATTATTATTTTTTTGTACAAATCATAAAAAAAAATAATTATTTTTAAAAATAAAACAAAATTGCACCTCATATGTTTTTAATTAAAAAATAATATAAATTTTAACGAAAGCTATTGAAAATTTAAGATATTTTTATAAAATATTTAAAACTATTATTGCAGAGGGGTGTGAATATATATATATATATATATAAACAATGGAATTAACTTTGGAAATTTAAGATTGCAAATTAAATAAAACATGCATTGAAAAAGAAATACACATTAAATATAATTATTTTTTTTTTAATTTAATTTTTTATAATATTAAAAGTAGGTTCCTATTTATTTTTAGAAATAAAAATACATAAATTGTTAGGGGGAAATTAGAATATAGTATTTAGTCCAAATGATTTCGAACAGTCAAGTCATTATTGTTTTACAGCATACTGTTGGCACTGTTTGAAATCATTTGAAGTTTTGAAAAAAACATATTTCCGAAAATATTTTTTTTTAATTTTCAAAATTGAAAAAAATATTAAAAAAATATTTTTTTTTAAATACAATTTATACAAAAAATACCATTTTGGAAAAAAAATATTTTTAATTTCAAAAAATATATTTTTTTAAGTTAAACATTTTTTTTTCGAATTTTGAAAACAAAAAATTTTTAAGTTGAAAAACCAAAACATTATTTTAAATTTCAAAAAAAATATATATATATTTTTTTTTTAATTTTCAAAAAATATTTTTTTTTAATTTTCAAAATATATATATTTATTTTTAAATTTCAAAATTTAAAAAAAAATATATTTTTTTAAATAATAATTTAATCATTTACTTTTAAAACAATTCGTTGTGTTTTTTGATGACAACAGTAGAGTGATATCCATTTTTTTTTTTTAAATTTTGATTATTTTTGAAATTTTGAAAAAAATATTTTTTTTTAATTTTCAAAATTTAAAAAAAATTATTTTTTTTAATTTTCAAAATTTAAAAAACAAAAATTTTTCAAAAAAATAACATTTTTTTCATTTTCAATTTTTTTTTTTAATTTTCAAAAAATATTTTTTTTTAATTTTCAAAATTTAAAAAAAAAATATTTTTTTTTCAGAAAATAATAATTTAGTCATTTACTTTTAAAAAATTCGTTGTTTTTTTTTGATGACTACAGTAGAGTGATATCCAAATTTTTTTTTGAAATTTTGAAAAAATATATGTTTTTTTAATTTTCAAAATTTAAAAAAAAATATTTTTCAAAAAAAAAAAATTTTTTAATTTCCAAAATTTAAAAGAAAAAATTAAAAAAAACATTTTTTTAAACACGAAAAAATACAATTTATACAAAATTACCATTTTGGAAAAATGTTTTAATTTTCAAAATTTAAAAAAAATATTTTTCAAAAAAAAATTTTTTTAATTTCCAAAATTTAAAAGAAAAAATTAAAAAAAAACATTTTTTTAAACACGAAAAAATACAATTTATACAAAATTACCATTTTTGAAAAAATATTTTTTTTTTTTAATTTTGAAAAATTTAATTTTTGTTTTAATAATACCATTTTGGTAAGAAAATATTTTTAATTTCAAAAAATATATTTTTTTAAGTAATTTTTTTTTTCGAATTTTGAAAACTAAAAATTTTTAAGTTAAAAAACCAAAGCATTTTTTTAATTTTCAAAAAATATATATTTTTTTAATTTTCAAAAAATATATTTTTTAAATTTCAAAAAATATATATTTTTTAAATTTTGATATTTTTTTTTTTAAATTTCAAAAAATATATTTTTCTTTAAATTTTGAAAATTTTTTTTTAATTTTTTTTTAAATATTTTTTTTTTCAAAAAATAATAATTTAATCATATACCTTTAAAACAATTCGTTGTGTTTTTTGATAACTACTGTAGAGTGATATCCAATTTTTTTTTTTGAAATTTTGAAAAAAAAAATATTTTTCAAAAAATATTTTTTTTTTAAATTTTCAAAATTTAAAAAAAAGATATTTTTTGACGAAAAATACAATTTATACAAAAATACCATTCTGGAAAAAAATATTTTTTTTAAAATTTTTAAAAATTAAAATTTTGTTTTTTAAATTTCACAATTTTTTTTGAATCTTGAAAACAAAAAATTCTTTTGGAAAAATATTCATTAGTTAAAAAACAAAAAAACACCAAAACATTTAAGAAAAAAAAATATTTTTTTTAAATTTCAAAAAATATTTTTTTTAATTTTCAAAATTTGAAAAAAATATTTTTTTTTTTCAAAAAATAATAATTTTAATTTATATATTAATAATTTATATAATTTACTTTTAAAACAATTCGTTGTGTTCTTTTTGACTTCAGTAGAGAGTGACATTCCATTTTTTTTTTTGGAATTTTGAATTTTTTTTTTAAATTTCGAAAAAAAATTTTTTTGAATTTTTTTTTTACAAACAACTATTTTGTGCTAGAATTTTCATCACCACTGTTTATATCGGAGAATGATGATGAGGATGCCACAGAAGTTGTTGTTGTATTTTCTGACAATGTAGTTGTTGTTGTTGTAGAGGTGTTGCTGCTATTAGTTATAGATCTAGTTGTAGACGATTCCTTAAAAGACTCCTTACAATTACTAAATTTGTTTTTGTTATTGCTATCGTTATTGTGGTTGTTGTTGTTATTGCTAAAATTATTATTTTCAATATTATGATTTTTAAAATCAATATTAGACTTAATCGTTGATTCGTTCAATGGATGTTGTTGTTGTGGTTGTTTTTGTTGTTCATAAAATTGTTGCTGGTGTTGAAGTTGATAATTGGAATTTATTGGCGATGATGAGGCGGATGACAGCTGATTCGGATGAACACCAACACCTGCTGGCTGTGTTGTTGTTGTCACAGTGAATATTGACGGCTGCTGTGACATGACCACATTTGTGGCGGAACTTTTAGTGTTAGTGGTATTACTATTAATAATAATGGAACACAACGGTGGCAGGTTAGGTGGTTGTGGTGATGGTAGAGGTGCAACATCAGCTGCCTCTGTTGTTGTGGATTTTAACTTCCGCTTAACTGCTGCTGCTGCCGCCGGAGGATGATGTACAATTTCCTGACGGTCATATTCGTTGAAATAGTTTTCAACAACAATACCATTCGTTTCATATTCTTCGGGTATGGTCGGCGTCAAGGATTTGCCATGATTGGATTGAACATTTTGTGGTCGGGGCACAACATCGGGCGGGGAGGTACAACGGGGATACGAAGAAATGGGTCTTAAATGGTCATAATTGTGATGTTGTTGTTGCGGATGATTGTGATACTGATATGGCTGTCGTTGTTGTTGTTGATGATTATATTGTAAATGATAATGTTGTTGTAAATTATTATACACCTGATCGCCACGATTTGTTGCAGCAGCAGCTCCAGCACTACCAACACCAACACCACCTGAACATTTAATCAAACGTCTTTGTTGTTGCTGTTGTTGTTGTCGCTGCCGCCGCTCCCGCTCCCCATGGCGATTAGGCGTAACGTATTGTCAGAAAAGTTCATCTAAATTTAATACAACATCGAAATATCAGGAAAGCATAACCCGCCCTCATAATGGCACCAATCCATTGCGTGTTGTCGGATTTCTAGCCATATATATGTCCATATCGTGATCGGTCCAATTATCCGATGTATCGCAATAATTGTTGAGGGTGTGTGTCGAACCAGCCGTAGAGTATCTGTGGATTTGGAGAAATTTGAAAAAAAATAATAATTAGAAAAATTCGAAATAACATTAAAAAATGGTTAATAATTTTTGAAAAAATGTTTGGAAATTAAAAAAGAAATTAGAAAAAAAGTGTTACAAAAAATTAAAGTGAAAAAATAATAGAATATTTAAAAATTAAGGGACGATTGTCAGAAAAATTAATTTTTTTTTATTTTATTTTTTGAGTTATTCTACTAGGGACCATTTTTATGGAAAAATAATTTTTCAACGTCCAAAGACTAGAGATTTTAGAACATTTTTTTCAAACCAAAGACTCTTCATCGAGTTTTTAAGAATATTTTTTTAAGGACTAAATCTTTCGTGGCCTCTTTTAAGCAAATTTTTCAGGGACCAAACCCTTCGTGGAGATTAAACAAAATATCTATTTAAGGACCTATGTCTGGAAATTTTATAAACATATTTTTTTCAAAGACCACAGACTAGAGATTTTAGAAAAATCGAGGGCCAAACCCTTTGTGGATTAATTAAATAAATATTTTCCACGGAGATTTTATTGCTAAATAATATATTTTTCAAAGACCAAAGATTTTAGAAAAATATTTTTTTCAAGGACCAAATCCTTCGTGGGGTTAAAAAAATATATATCTTCAAGGATCAAAGTCTCGAGTTAAAAAAATAAATATTTTTTTAAGGTCTGGTGATTTTAGAAAAATATATTTTTTTAAGGGTGGAAGATTTTAGAAAATGCGCTTTGGGAAGTTTTTTTTTTAAAAAAAATTTTTTTGAAGAACCAAAGACTGAATTTCTTCTAGGGTTTTTTTAAGGACCAAACCCTTCGAGTTTTAAAACAATATTTTTTAAGGACCAAAGACTGTAGATGTTAGACAAATATTTTTTAAGGACCAAAACCTTTGTTTTGTTTTATTTAAATATATGTTTAATGAAGTTAAAAAATCAAGGATCAAAGACTTTATTTTTGAAGGACTATCAGAAATATTTTTTGAAGAACCAAAGACTTAATTTTATACCCTACACAACTATGTTGTCAGGGTATTATAGCTTTTTGCAGCCCAAAGAGTTTGTAACGCCGCGAAATATTGGTCTTAGACGCACCATTAAGTATACCGATCGTCATAACTCGACTAGCTGAGTCGATCTAGACATATGTGTCCGTCCGTCCGTCTGTCCATTATAATTTGTAAACACGATACAGGCCACTGTTATGGACCAATCTTCACGAACTTTGCATGTAGGATGGGTTCTGGCCAATGAAGACCCCTATTGTTTTTGGTAAAGATCGGTTAATATTTAGGGGATGGAATGGACCAAAAACTTTATTTTTGTTGCTCCAGAAGCCGCAATTATGGCACGAAATTTTACATGGAGATCGGGCCAAAGAATAAGTATGCCTGTTTTGATAAAGATCGGTCAATATTTAGCGGGTGAAATGAACCCTGACTTTTGTGTGAAAAATGACAAAATTTATATTCTATAGCGTATATATTTACCCCTGAAGTACATAGTACCCGAGAAGTTGATATTATATCCAAGAGGAGTGGTTAACTTTTAAATTGATACCAATTATATTGTCGTAGGTACTCGGATGTGGGAGATACACTTAAATATTTACAGGTATCTCTGTATTCGTATATTATTTAGTAACCCATTATCACTCTAGAGAGCGGAAATATAGCGTTGACCGCTTTGAAATGTTCCATGAGGTTCCTGTTATGGTCAATGACAACGCCTATAATTTTCGGTGATGATCAAATAATATTATAATTGGGATGAAGTGGACCGAAAACCTAATTTTTTGTGTTATTTCCGAGTCGATCTATAGACCACAAATGAATGTCGTATGTCGGCTCCGTCCGACTATACTGCTCCGCTCACTGGTTTAAAAATATATTTAAGGAACCTAGAACCAAAGACTGGAGATTTTAGATAACGATTTTTTCAAAGACTAAACCCTTGGAGGAGTTTAAAAAGATTTCTTTGTTCTGGATAAAAAAATATTTTTTTTAATGGTGGAAGATTTTAGATAAAGCGCTTTGGGAAGTTTTTTTTCTAATATTTTTTTTCATGAACCAAAGACTGAATTTTTCAAGGGTTTTTTTTTATAGACCAAACTCTTTGAGGAGTTTTTAAACAATATTTTATTTTCTTAAATAATATTTTTTTAGACGACGATTTTTTCAAGGACCTTGGTGGAATTAAAAAAAATATATTTTTTCAAGGGCCAAAGGCGAGATTTTAGAAATATAGTTTTCATTTACCAAAGACAGGAGATTTTAGAACATATTTTTACGACCCAAAGATTGGAGGTTAAAAAAATGTTTTTTGATCGATAGGATCCTTTGTTCTGTTTTTAGAAAATATTTTTTTAAGGGCTGGAGATTTTAGAAAAAAAATTTTTAAGACCAAGTCCTTTGTGAATTTTTTTATGTTTTTTCAAGGACCAAAGACGGAATTTTTTCAGGACCATCAGAGGCCATGCATTTGCAATGCCATATTTAGAAAAATATTTTTTCAAAGACCAAAAAAATATTTTTTCAAGGATTAATGACCTACATTAGTTCAAGGCGTAGCTATTTCAACGTCTTACTATGCAAAAGAGTGGATTTTTTTCATTGACTATCAGGGACCATAAACTTCGTTTTGTCAAAGAATTAATTTGTTGTTTAATTGAAGCCTTAGGCATGGGTGACTTTTTTGATGACTTTCAGGTCCATAGACGTGAATACTATTTTTGATGGATTTTTTTAAAGAAGACCAATAAGCCACAAACCTAAAATGCTGATTTTTTTGCTTAAGACCCATAATTTGTATGTAGCACTCCTAAAGTTTAGATCACTAACTCGGTATTTGGGATAGTAAATTTTAATCATTTCCACCTATAATTTGTATGTGGCACTCCCAATGTTAAGATCACTAACTTCGTATTTGGGATAGTAAATTTTAATAATTTCCACACTTTGCATGGCTTATGATCATAGTTTTTATATTCCTGCAAAATGTTCTTTTCGATCCACTTTTAGAGCTCGGATTGTCCTTGAAAAAAAAAAAAATCTCATCAAAGTCATTGGCGTATACATTATGTCAAAACGTATACGCACCGTCTTCCTGGACTGATTTTTCATTCTAAAATGTTTTTAATCCCAATTTACGGCTCTAATTGTCCTTGAAAAAACGTTATTATTTAGCGTATACGCACTCTGTTACTTTATATTTTATTTTTTAATTTATTCCCCCTTAAAATACCAATTTTGAAAAAAATATCATCTGTTTTTCCCAGATTGATTTTTCATTATAAAAATGTATTTTTAATCCCCGTTTACGTCTCAGATTGTCCTTGAAAAATCGTTTTTATTCAGCATAGTCATTAGCGTATACATTACGCCAACAAGTATACGTATCCCACTTCTTCATATTTAATTTTTTAATTAATATCCTTTAAAATAAAAAATAACTAATTCTATTCAAAATTTAGAAAAAATATCATCACTTTTTCCGGACTAATTTTTCATTATAGAAATTTATTTTTAATCCTGATTTACGACTCTAATTGTCCCTTAAAAAGGTAATTGATCAGCATAATCAGTAGCGTATACACGATGTCAACACGTATACGCATTCTGTTACTTCACATTTTATTTTTTAATTTATTCCCCATAAAAATTAACTAATCGATTTCTAACTTTGAAAAAATATCATCTGTTTTACCGCACTGATTTTTCATTATAAAAATTAATTTTTAATCCCAATTTGCCGCCCGAATTGTCCTTGAAAAATCGTTTTTATTCAACATAATTAGTAGCGTATACATTATGTATTATACGCACTCTGTTACTTCATATTTTATTTTTTAAATATATTTCCTTTCAATTACTAATTAAATCAAATTCGTTTTATAATTTAGAAAAAATATAATCTGTTTCCCTGGACTTGTTTTTGATTATAAAATTTTATTTTTACTCCCCGTTTACGTCTCAAATTGCCTTGAAAAATAGTTTTTATTCAGCATAATTAGTAGCCAACACGTATACGCACTCGGTTCCTTCATATTTCATACATTTTTTTAATTTATTCCCTTTAAAATTCTAATTCTTAATATGATTTATAATTTTCAATACAATATTGTCTGTTTTCCTGAATTGATTTTTCATAAAAAAATATTTATTTTTAATCCCGATTTGCTGTCCTAATTCTCTTTGAAAAACGTCATTATTTTACATAATCATTAGCATATACATTATGTCAACACGTATACGCACTCTGTTTCTTTATATTTTAAAATACAAATTAAATCAACTTCGATTTATAATTTAGAAAAAAATATTTTGTCTTTTTTTCGGGATTGATTTTTCATTAAAAATTTTTATTTCTAATCCATTTTTTGGTCCAAATTGTGCTTGAAAAGCCTGTTTTTATTCAGCATAATCATTAGTAGCGTATACATTATGTCAACACGTATACGCACCCCTCTTCCAGCTCTTCATATTTTATTCCCTTTAAAATACAAACCAAATTCGATTATATTTACTACATCCGTTTTCCCTGAACCGATTTTTTTCACATATATCGTAATAAATATTTAATAGTAATTTCTAAAAATAAATTATTTTTTCTAAATTTACTTACACAAACAAACTAGTTAGGTATGTACGTATATATTTTATAGTATTTCTATTTGGTATGTATTTTTGTATTTATTCGGCAAAAAAATAATTGAATCACTTGTGGAGCATCAACGTATCGGTTGTGTGGTTTTTTATTTCTATTTTTTGAAATCTCATAACAAAATTATATACAATTTGTGAAAATTCCTTTAGTAGCCATATCTAAAAGAATTGGAAAGAAAAAATAAAAATGTTTAAATCAATAACTATCTGCTCAATATGATAATGATATTGAAATCTACCGAAAAGCCAATCTAGCTAACTAAACCCATATATACGTATGTTTTGTATGTATGTATGCTCACCAAAACAACAGTACATGTATCTCTATATATATTTATTGTCTCCAACTACAAACACAAATGTAATAATAGTAATAATATCAATAGTAATTGGGAATATGTTTAGCTCCAGGAAATACAAATGATTTGTGTATAATGACATTTTTTCCCCTCATATATATATATATGTCTATATATGATTGTGAATATATATATATTTGTATGGAATATGCTAATAGTAATATAAGGGTTTCTGTGTGTATTTTATTTTGAATACTGTTTGATAATGATATTTTAATTTTGTGTACTGTCTCTCTCTATATGTAAATTATTATTTTGTGTAATATCATGGGGGCGTATACATTATGACAACACTTATACGCAATGTGATACATTGTTTTGCTAAGCAACGTGTAAACAATGTAATATAATGACATTTAGGGGTTTAATGTTAGATTTATATGGAATTTTTTTAAATATGATGAGAATTTGTTTTATATTGCATATTTATATTAAAAAAATGTCCTTGCTGTAAGATTTTTGTTAGAGCCAATAAACCCACCGTGTCCCAGGATCGGTGTATAACGTTAAAGATTACTAGAGAATATTTTATCCAAAGAATAAAATATAAATTGTTATTATTATGTTATATTCGGTTAATTTTAAGATTTTGGAAAATATTTTTCGAAAGTCCACATCATTTGTGGTGATAAAAAAAATATTTTTTGCAACGCTAAAAAACTGGAGATTTTAGAAAAAAAATTTTCTAAGACCGATGACTGTAAATTTTAGAAAGAATGATTTTTTTCAAGGACCAAAGCCATTATTCAAGGACCATACCCAATTTATCATAAGATCATAGGCCTCAATTTATTGTAATCAGACTGCTTTGAACAGAAATTTAATTTGACAGCTATTATTGCCTTACAGGAAATCCGAAAGGGACAGACGTAAGTAAATCAGATGATTACGCACTGTATTATAGCTACCATGAAACAGGAGAATAAAATACCTCGTCTCCAGATTCACTCCAGTAGATGAGCGAATTGCTATAATCCGCATAAAAGCGAAGACAAAGATGATCAGACCAAAGACATATTTTACGAGCGCCTAGAAACAGCTGCTTTGGCCATGGCATTAAAATTCTGCTAGGAGATTTTAATGCAAAAATCGGAAGGGAAGATATCTTTGGCCCCACTGTCGGAAAATTCAGCCTTCATGAAGAAACATTCCACAACGGCTTAATGTTGATTGAGAAGAAGTACAAGCGACTTAATATAATGACCCAGGAATTAAACATTTTATGTACGTTTTTAGCGAAAATAATACCCATCGGGATAGTAGGTCTACTAAAGGAATGGGTAAATATTATTAACGACGAGTTGGAAGAACTGAAATATCGTGCATCCGAGATACATAAATTCGAAACTGAAGCGGATTACTCAAAAAATTTAAACCATTATAAAGTAGATAACATCAAGCGGGATTATCTGGAATTCTATTAGCCAATTTTCTCGCCAAGAACTACACAATGTATGATTTTGCAGTAGAGGAAATCTACAATGAAGCTGACTATATGATAAGCCGATGTGACGACGCGAGACATGATTTGGCAGAATATTATTAACGACGAGTTGGAAGAACTGAAACAACTTGCATTCGAGATTAACGATGAGAAAATAAATTCGGAATTGAAGCGGATTACTCGAATGTGTGAAATCATTATAAAGAAAGTGAATGACATCCAGCGGGATTATCTGGAATTCTATTTACCAATCTTCTCGCCGAGAACTACAGAATGTATGATTTTGCATTGGAGGAAATCTACAATGAAGTCGATTATGTGACTAACCGGATAGTAGGTCTACTAAAGGAATGGGTTAATATTATCAAAAATGAGTTGGAAGAACTGAAATAACTTGCATCCGAGATTAAGTGAGGAAAAATTAAATTCGGAACTGAAGCGGATTACTCGAATGTGTGAAATCATTATAAAGAAAGTGGATGACATCAAGCGGGATTATCTGGAATTCTATGTGCCAATTTTCTCGCCGAGAACTACAAAATGTATGATTTTGCAGTGGAGGAAATCTACAATGAGACATGATTTGCATTCCGAGATTAAGGATGAAAAAGAAAATTCCGAACTGAAGCGGATTACTCTAGTGTTTGAAACTATTTTAAAGTGGATGGCATCCAGCGGCATTATCTGAAATTATATTTTCCAAACTTCTCACCAAGAACTACAGAATGTATGATTTTGCATTGGAGGAAGCCTACAATGAAATTAACCGATGTGACAACGAGACACATGATTTACGAAATGATATCACTGAAGACATTGTACCAGGAGCTCAGAAGATGCCGATATTGAGTTTTCTGCCGAACATCCGGTGAATTGATAAAGTTTTGATAGATCTACTATATACAGCGCTTGAATAATTGCATTTTATAGTGGTTAAATGATTTCTGGATTTTTAAGTTTATTATATGCGTTTATATGATTTACATTGACTCAAGATAAGTTCGAGGTCCATCTTGCAACATGAAAACAAAAGTCTAGCATATAACATAGAGATAATATTGAATCTAATACTTATCAGAAGGGATACCTTCTCTCTGGCAGAATATATCCTTCTGTTATAAATAGACTCTTAATTATTCCAAAGGGCTTGTATATAACCCACTAACTTAATTCTCTATCCCTTACCGAATGTAGTGGTAGTCTTAGCGTAATAGTTCATAGTTAAAAGAAGTTATACGATCTTCATGTACTACCTAACCTAGAGTGAAAATCTTATTCTGAATATATTTTACTCTTCCTTCTATTTATTGGTCACAATTTTTTATTGAAGACCCTAAACATTTTTTTTATTGAAGACTCTGAATATGAGCTCTTTAATTTTATACCCTCCACCATAGTATATAGGGTAGATTAGTTTTGTTTTTCCGTTTGTAACGCATCGAAATAATCAATTCCGACCCTATATCGTATATATCGATTAGCGTAAAATTCGATATGACGATTTAAAGCATGTCCGTCTGTTGTAATCATTCTAGCGTCTAAACGAATTGAGATAAATCGCCAAAATTTTACATAGAGTCGCATTTTGTCTTCAGGCAGGTCAGTTCGTCTGTTGTAATCACTCTAGCGTCTAAACGAATTGAGATAAATCGCCAAAATTTTACATGAGTCGCATTTTGTCTGCAGGCAGGTCATGTTCGAAGATGGGCTATATCGGTCCGTCTGTCCGTCAGTTGTAATTACTATAGCGTCTAAACGAATTGAGATAGATCGCCAAAATTTTACATAGAGTCGTCTTTTGTCTGCAGGCAGTTTATGTTCGAAGATGGGCTATATCGGTCCATATACCAATTTTCGGTATTCTAAGGTTCTTGAGCGTGTTTTTCAAGCGAATTCCCTGAAATTTGGTAAATTGGGTTCTTATTGGGTAGTAAATCTCCCACTTAAAAAATATAAATATCGGTCCACTTTTTCTGGTAGTCCCCGTATAACGGTACACCCAATTTTCAGAATTTTATAGGGTTTGACCGCATTTTTCGCCCGAAAAGGCTGTAATTTAGTACTTTGAGTTCTTTTTGGGTAGCAAATCTCTCCTTAAAAAAATTATAAGTATAGGTAAATTTTTTTCTGGTAGCCCCCATATAAGAGTACCCTCAAATGTTCGGTATTCAGGGGTTCTTGAGCGGGGGTTTTTCAACCGAATTCCCTCACATTTGGTACATTGGGTTCGTATTGGGTACCAAATTTCTCAATTAAATTTAAATGTAGGTCCACTTTTTCTGCTAGTCCCCATATAGAGGTATCCGTAATTTTCGGTATTTCGGGGTTCTTGAGCGCGTGTTTCAAACGAATTCTCTGTACCAAAAGTTATTAATATTCGCCCCCCTTTTAGAGATAGTCCTCATATAAACTTTTTTATATTAAAATAGTTCGATTTGTTCCGTGTGTTTGTGGTTGTCCCCATATAGGCGCATTCTAAGATAATATGGAGGATAGTCGTGAAATTATTAGGAGGTATGTTGTGATGTTCCATAAATCCCAAAACAAATATTAACTAAACACATAATTAAACCCCACACCAAAGAAACGCAGTATTGCGATACGAAAGGAGGAGGAGGATGGGAAGGAGAAATGAGGGTGGAGTACTCTTTGCATGTTGTCATTCCATTTCATTGTCACTGGAGCACAAGAAATGCAACCAAGCAGGCAACAACAACATGCAATGCACGTCCAAATCAGACCAACCCGGCCAAAGTTAGTAACACACAAAGAACGCATCCTCAAAATGCTAGGCCGTAGAGTAGACCGTATAGTATAGCACAGTTTTGGTTCCACAAAATGGTGTCGATATATTTTTTAGCATAGATTTGTTTTTGTGTAGAAAAGTGGGTCTATTACCAGAGTCAGATTTGTTGTTCTTTTTTTAGAGAGTTGTTAAGTGACTCGTGCTTTGGAGGAAGATGTCTGCACATTAGGTATTTTGAAATGAAGAAGTGGGAGAACGAGTTGTTTAGTGGATAATGTAGTGTAACAGATTTTGTTGTAGTAGTTGTTTGTTTTTGTTGCTGCTGTTTTTATTGTCAGCCTACTTACCGACTTCCAGGTCGATGACTGTGTAAATGCGTGGCATTTAATTGATCGCGTGATCTAGAACGCGGCCGTGAACGGCGTGTACTAGACGCCACACTTGTGGGTCCACCACCACCGATGCCGCCGGCGCCACCATGTATTGAACCGGCATAGGAGGCACGTGACATTCTCTCCGAGGGTGCAGCAAGTGACTGTCGAGATTGACGCAATTCGGGTCGTGAATTAACTAAATTCGATGGAAATGCGGTGCCCAAATAGCCGCGATGTGAATTATTTGAAAAGCTATGCTGCGATTGGCCATCAGCAATGGATCTGGTTTATATAGTACATATATATTTGTTTTTTTTGGAATGATAATGATTGTGTTGTGTGGCGATAGGGTGTTGTTGTTTTTGTATAATCGAGTGGGTGGACATAATGAGTAATGTTGATGATTTGTTGTTGGTGTTTTCGTGAAATAAAAGCAAAATAAAAAATAAATAAAAAACATTTAAAATAAAAATAATACACAACTAAAAAAATAATAATATTACAACAAAACACAAATTATTACAACAACAAAAATATTTAATAAATAAATCTTCCAACCGTAAGCATTCTACGAAAGCTTAGCAGCAATATTTTTTTTATTATTTATTCATGAAATCGCTGTCTAGCTTACCTGGGTTTCGCCAGCTTTCCTGGCATTCCCGAGAAATGGCTACGCATATCATCTTGATTGTCCATGGGATAGGCACGTGGTCGGGGTATTGAGCGGCCACTATAGGCTGATACTTGATCCCATTCCTGGAACAAGAAACAATTTTAAAGGGCATTAACAAATTAATTTAAAATTACAAAAAAATCTAATGAAGATGCGGATTTTTTTAAGAACAATTATTAGGCATCTAAATAAGGCTTGGATTTTTTTAAAAATAATTTTTTGAAGCAACTAAACAATGAACGGATTTTTTTATTAAAACCTGTAT